TGTGTGTGAGAGTGTGTGTACAGATAGCTATCAATTTCCCCTTCCTTAAGATATATATTAATTTTCTCTTCCTTCTTTTCTCCTTTTCCCTATCCCAGTTGTTCTTTCTTTTTGAGCTATTTCTTTCCATTTCACTATATCATACCTTTTGGATTTTATTCACTCTTCCACCTCCACACATTAAAGAGACAATGCAATGTTTATACATGTGAGTCTGATTTATTTCACTTATTTTGTATCTGTTTACTTTTCTCCCTAAAATGTAAGCTTCACACAAATCATTCCAGACCCAGGGCCTAGAAGCATTCCAGGGCTCATAATAGATGCTCAATAAATAGTTGTTGAACTGAAGAATAAATCTCATCTACCTCTCAGTGTAGTGAGATATAAATGTTTCTTCTGATCTGATAGATAAGTAAATTGAATGACTTGGACATGGTGCATATTTAATACATGTCAAAGTCAAATCCAAATATTTGTAAATTTATAGGCCAGAACACTTTAAAAATGGTCTTATTTTTTTAACTTGTCACTGTAAAATCACTTCAGACTTAACAAAAGTTTCAAATAGTACAAAGAGTTCTTTTCCACCCTAACTCTCATTTTCCCAATGGATAACAACTGGCAAGTCTAGTTTGCCCAATGGCTAGCCATGGTATAATGATCAAACTCTGGAAGTTCATAACGATGTAAGATCAGTGACGAATCTACAGATTTCATTCCGGTCTCAGGAGTTGTCCCTCTCTTATCTTTCATGTGGCCCTAGATCCCACACTGCATTTAGATGAAATATCTCTGAGGCTCCTCTTGCAAGACACAGATCTCAGTCCTTGTCTTTCATAAGCTTCCCACTGGTAAAGAAAGTCACATTAACATCAGGGCCTACTCTAGGAAGAGTAAGCCAAGGTGTTCCAGGAGCACCATGAGCACTCAGCAATTGTAACTATCATTGTGAGGGAAATAGGTAAAGCCTCCTTCTGGGAAGTGGGACACAGACTGACTCCTCACATTCTATTTGTGTTGATTAGCCTGGATGATCTTGAAGCTTTCATAGAAAGCAGTGAGAGTGGCTTACTCAAGGAACTCAAGAAAGGAGATCTCCAAGGATTGGTTGAGGTCATGGGACACCTTGTGGCTCTTAAAGAGCGGCAGAGCAGCACTGATGAAATGTTTGAGCCCCTCAGGCAAACCATCGAATTACTGAAAACCTATGACCAAGAATTGCCCGAAGCTGTGTTTAAGCAACTGGAGGTCAGTGCATTTATATATTAAAAAAAACAAAACAAAACAGAAGAGAAGTGTTGAGGGTTTAAGAGTGGGGAGACTGGTAGAAGTAAATGAAAAACAGACTTTGGCAATGACTCGGCTTCTTCTTTTGGAACTTGCATGGGTAAGGGCTGGGGCAGTCTGGAAACTCAATAAATATGAAAGAATGGAATCATGTGGGTATACAGCAGAATTAATATGGATGGAGATTCTTCCCCAGAATTAAAGAAATATGATTTCTGACTTGGGAAAAATAAGAATGTTTTTGTAATGTTAAGATGGTCTAAGACAGAATGTGGAGCATGCAAGAAGGTAAGCAAGCATCCTGGAAAATATGGAGGTTGAAGATGAGAGCGTTAGCGTGGAGTCAGAAGTAGTGACAGGAGAGAGCAGGTAAAAGCGAAGGCACAAATTGTAACTTGATGAAGGGAGAGCATCGTGGAGAATTACAGTATTGTGTGAGTGGCTTCCTAGTTCTTGGACACAATACACGATTTCAACAACTAATCAGAGGGAAAAGTATAATTTGACTCACTTTTTAGGAGGATTCAGTCCATGGTCAGCTGGCTCCAAGGCAAAAATATGGCAGAAGGGATCAATTTATGGTAGCAAGGAAGCAGAGCATGAGAACAGTACCAAAGAGGAAGAGGCCAGGAACCACACCTAGGCCGTAAGGCCATGCGTCCATGACCCATCCCAGACACACTCAGAGTTACTCTTCAGTTCTCTGGGTGACTCTCAAAGCCAGGAAAGTTGACTCTCAGCCTGACAACCAGAAGTGCAATTGTACAGAGTGTGGATTAGAGAACCTTAGTGATGACTGCTCCAGAATGTAGGGGTTTGACTGTACTGAGGTCTCCCTTGTAGGAGCTACCTGAAAAATGGAACCACATGAAGAAACTGGCCATCACCATTCGGCAGCAGGTGGCTCCCCTGCAGGCAAACGAAGTGACCATCCTTCGCCAGAGGTGCACTGACTTTGACGTGGAGCAGCAGCAGTTCTGGGAAAGATTCCACCAGGAAGCCCCCTTCAGGTGAGGACAACAGTTGCTTCTGCTACCTCCTTTCTTTTTCCAAACTCTGTTATATTTTATTAGTGCATGTTATATCACACAATGGTGAAGCATATTTGAAGAAGTTGATACATACATTTAACATATCTTAATGAGTTTCAGTCTTATTACTCATCCTTCCTTCTTTCTCTCTTGCCATTAACCCCCTTCCCATCTCCAAAAGTCTGCCTCCTGGTTTCCTCTCATCTCTTCAGTGTTATTTATTTATTTATTTATTTATTTATTTATTTATTTTCTCAAGTAATAGAATCCATTCAATACTTAACTATCTGAGCCTAGCTGATTTTTAATTTCATTTAAGATGAGGATTTCTAATTCTCTCCATTTCTCTGTCAATGACCTGATTTCATTTTGCTTTAGGACAAAGTAGTATTCCATAGTATGTCTGTAAAACATTGTCTTCATACTATATTTATGTGTTGATGGGTCTCTAGGCTGTTTCCCAAGCTTTACTATTGTGAATTGCACTTCTATAAACATGGGTAGGGCTGGCCAGATAGGTCAGTGAATTAAATCACCTGCTTAGGCAGATGCAGGGGTCCAAGGTTCAATCCCTGGCCTGCAATACTGGCCACACCCCCAGGACATGCTGAGATAGAGATTGAGACTGGGCGTGGTGGTGTGTGCCTGTAATCCCAGCTCTTGGGAAGGTGAGAACAAGAGAATCACTACAAGTCTGATCTATATAGTGAGATCCTGTAGAACCTGCACTAAATACAAAAATAAAAAAATAAATAAATATGGGTATTGTCTCAGTTCCTTTTCTCTCATTGCTAAGACAAAGTACCTTACACCCAAAATTAAGGAAGGAAAGGTTTGTTTAGCTCAGTTAGTGGAGGTTTCAGTCCATGCTCGGCTGGCTTCAAAGCAAAGTGGCACATGGCAGAAGGCAACAGCTCAAGGAGCTGGAAAATAGCAAGAGCCAAGGGAAGACCAGTAGTACTGGCATCTAGCAAGCCTCTCTCCGTTCCTTATGTTGTATTCAGACTATCTAGCCCCAGGGTGGGGATAGCACTCACACACATAATCTCAGCATTGCACCATAAATTAATCACAAACTCTAGAAGTGTGCTCCAGTGACTGCATGAGGCTTTGGGAGGACAACTAGACACAAACCATAACGGGTATGCATGAATAACTATAATATTCAGTCTTTAATTTGGGGAAGAATCTGCACAGGAGTGGTATAGCTGTATAAAATGATATTCTGTTTAATCTTTTGAGAAATCTCCATACACTGGGTGCACAGGTTTACATTCCCATCAACAATGGAGGGTCGTTCTTCCTGCTCCCTGAATTGTTACCAGCATTGCTTTTTGCATTCTGGATGACAACCATTCTGATTAGAGTAAGGTGGACTCTCAGTGTAGAGTTAGAGTTAGGAAAACCTTAAAACCATAGGCATGGGCAAAGACTTCTTGAACGGGACTCTAAACACAGGGGAAAGAATATCAAGAATCAGCCAATGGGACCATGTCAAATGTAAAAGGTTCTGATAGGAAGTCAATGCACTGGGTGGGAGAAAACTTTTGGAAGTTACTCTTCTGACAGTGCATTAGTATACAACGAACGCAAAACATTAATATTCATAAAACAATGAGCCTGATTGAAAAAGTGGACAAATGAACCAAATACCTCTCAAGAGAAATTCAAATAGGCAATAAATATTTAGAAAAAATATTGAATACCTTTAATATTCAATAAATGCAAATTAAACCTCTTTTCATTCAAAACTTGTGATCTACTAATTGCTGTTGATTTTCCTGTTGAGCTTTTGTCCTATACTCTTTCAGTAGAGGAA